GGTCGCACTGGCCCAGGCTGCAGGCGCGCGTCTGGATGGACGGCCCCGGGCAGCTGCTGCTGGTGGCGTCGCAGGAGCGGCCCCTCTGCTGGGTGCCGGGCCCGCAGGTGGCCGAGCACTCGGTCCACTCTGCCCACGGGGACCAGCCGTCCTCACCGGCTGCTGCCGGGGACAGAAAAGCCAGCGGGCTCGGCACCGGCCGTCACAGCAGGCCAGGCCCGGCCCAGGCCCGCAGAGAACCAGCGAGAGGTGGCCAGACGGACAGGTGGACAGGCAGGACACGGGCAGAGGGTGTGTCCGGCACGGGCCCAGCCCCATGCGCGGGGGTCTCCCGGCCCCTCCCCCGCTCCGCAGCGCTGCGCCAGGGCCGGTCACTGGCATGGGTCCCCAGTCGTGTCCGGCGGGCCGAATGACAGGAGACCCTGCCCAGGAGCTGCTCGGGGCATCCGCCCCGACCAGGGTAGCGGCCCCAGCAGCTCTCCTGTGCTGGGACGGGTGCCAGGCGAGCATCCACGCCCCCACCCCTGCACTGTCCAGGCCGTGCTGACCCATGGCCGGCCGGCCGGCTGGGAGGAGCTGGCTGTGCCCGCGGTCAGCATGTGGTGAACCCAAAGCCCAGGAAAACGCCTCTCGCGCGAGAGCGAGGGTCATGAGGGGTCGGGCTGACCCCACGCCCGTCCTGCACCTCCGAGGGCAGGAGGCTGCCAGGCCCGGGGAGAGGCTTTCTCCGTCCCCGCCTTCTGCTGGGCTCTCCTGTCCCGCGGCGAGGACACCCCTGCCCGAGGCCCCGCGCCGGCCTGGGTGCCGTGAGGGCGGCGCCGACAGCCTGCGGCCGCCCACCCCGAGGGCCCCCGGGCCCCGCACTCACCGAGGGCGCAGGACGGGCAGCACTCGCCCTCCACGAAGGTGGGGTGGGTGCAGGCCACAGCCGGGCACGTGATCTGGTGGCAGACGGTCTTAAATTTCTGCAAGGAAGACGGGTGTCCACGCCCTGGGCCAGGCACTGACGGGTGGCCGAGTCGCAACTGCGGCCGGGGGGACGGCGTCCACCCTGCCCCTCACCCCCCACCTGGGCAGTGGTGCTTGCCCTGCCCCCCCACCCCAGGGCTGGCCGCTGCCTGCAGGCACCCTGGGGGAGGGCAGGAGGGGCAGGAACTGCCCTGTCCAGGGGCCAGGAGATCCTGTCCGCCGGGCACGAGGCGCTCACAGCCGGGGAGGGAACCGGCACCCCCGTCTCTGCCCAGAGGACGGACGCGGCCCCCTCCGGGCTCACCTTCCTTCATGGCGGCGTGCAAGCGCCCGGCCTCCCCGGGCTGACCTCTCCAGCCAGGACAGGCCGCGCCTCGGGGCAGGGCCCCGCCCTGGGGAGCACCCACCCGCCCCCACGGTTAGACCCGGCGGGAACCCCCCAGGCGCCACCTTGAAGGACCCCACCCCCCAGGACCCCACCCCCACAGCCTCCCACCTTGCAGGTGCACTTGGTGCAGCTGTCCACTACCCAGGTGGCATTCTCCGGGAAGATCCGGCCGTCCTGCCAGCAAGCGGACATGTTCCTGGTCTTGTGTGGGCCCCCGATGAGCTCCCAGAAGAACTGGTTGTCGCTCGACTGGAAGACGCAGACCAGGGGCGCTCAGGCGGGCAGCCTCGCCGCGGCAGAAGGGCCCCGGGCACCGGGAGTGGGGCCAGGAGGCCCCACGGGCTGGACAGCAGGGCAGCGGCGCACGGGGGCTGATGGCGGCCGCCTCTGCCCGCTCCCCAGGCGCCCGGCCACTCCTGGACACGGGCAGCCTCTGCCTGTTGCTGGTCGCGGCGGGGACACACAGGGGACAGGGCCTAGGCTCTGGG